CCACCGATGCCATGTCCTTGCCAAGTCACCCCCAAACCAGGGGATGGGACACTTCCCTGTCCCGAGGGCCCTAAGGGCAAAATCCCCCCCGAGCTGCCTCCAGGGGGATCATCAGTCTTCCCAGGAGGAGCTGTATCCCCAGGGAATTGCTCCTTGCTGCTGGAAAGGAGGAGCTGCCCCCGGGGGTGTCCTGCTGTTTGTTCGGGGTGTTGAAAGCTCTTGTGCCTGCTGCTAATTAACAGTTGTTAATAAACCAGGCTTGGGAGCAGAGGCAGCTCCAGGGGAAAGCTCAACAGATCCCTGGATCCAGCCTGGCAGGGTGGGAGGGCTCGGGATCCCTCCAGAATCCCTCCAGGTGGGAGCAGTGCCATCCCCAAGAATTCCTGATCCTGTGGAGATGGAAACAAAAGCTGCTCTGGGAGAGCTCAGAGGATCTCTGGATCCAGCCTGGCAGGGTGGGAAGGCTCTGGATCCCTCTGGGATCCCAGTGGGATCCTAAGGAATCCTTCACCCCTCGGAGAGGGGGACACATGGGGATGGAAGCAGAAGCAGCTCTGGGAGAGCTCAGTGGATCGCTGGATCCAGCCTGGCAGGGTGGGAGGGCTCAGGATCCCTCCAGGATCCCCCCAGGTGGGAGTGATGCCATCCTGGGGAATCCCTGACCCTGGGAAGATGGAAACAAACGCAGCTCTGGGAGAGCTCAGTGGATCCCTGGATCCAGCCTGGCAGGGTGGGAGGGCACTGGATCCCTCCAGTTTCCCTCCAGGTGGGAGTGATGGCATCCTAGAGAATTCCTGATCCTATGGAGACAAAAGCAGCTCTGGGAGAGCTCAGTGGATCCCTGGATCCAGCCTGGCAGGGTGGGAGGGCTCTGGATCCCTCCAGGATCCCTCCAGTTTCCCTCCAGATGGGATCGGTGCCATCCCAGGGAATCCCTGACCCTGTGCAAGGGACCAGGTGGGGGTGGTGGATGTGCCCTCCCTGCCCCGTGGGCACTGCCCTGCCCGAACTGCACAACTCCAACCACTTCCCTGCGCTGACAAAAGCCAAAGGGTGCCAAGTTCCCGGGGCCAACCCCCATTTCCCGGCACGGAGTCTCTGCCAGGCTCCCCCGCCCTCGGCTCTGTTTGCTCCCAACCTGCTCTTTGTCCCGCTGGGATCGTGCCCCGACGGGGCGGGAGGGAGGGAGGAGGGAGGAG